AACATCTGGAAACGAGTTTTCCACATCCAGACCTTTACTTTCAGCCACGAGGCTCGTTTGAGCGCAGCGTGCACGATGACAGCAAAGCTGCGTCAGTCCACACGCGCTCAGTGAGACCTCGCCTGCTCAGCTGAGAGGCTGGCGATGGACGAACCCGTGATTTTAAAGCTGAAAGCAAAGCGTAAGCTTTAAGAGGAGGGGGTCGAACTGAGGACGGCGAATCACATCAGATGTTATTAACATGCTTTACCTGAAAACAAGGCCCACACTGCTTATTAGTGATGAAGAGGTTTTAATGGTTTGTGTGGATCAAATTACAACATTTATTTTATTTAGTTGAGAAAATAAAATCATTCTGGCAGCAGTTGAACAGCGAGCGGCGTCACAGCTCTGAAATCCAGCGTTTGGTGACACAGTTCACCTGCCAACAGCAATCCTTTATCCATCCAGGTAACAGTCTCTCTTCTCCTAGAGAAGAAGACTAATGACCTTTGACCTTCTCTCATCAAAAGGAAATCTGCAGCTCCATCGTCGATGTTTCTGGTCTGTCACCTGGCTCCTGTGGCCAGAGCTTACGCTTCAGACTTCCTGTGAGTTTTCAGGTGGACTTTCAAAATTCTACTCCCACTGAAGCTTTTCCCACACTCTTCACAAAGAAACGACTTCTCTGCCGTGTGGATGACCGTGTGTTTCTTCAGTGAGGACGACTCAGCAAATCTCTTCCCGCAAACGTTGCAGGGGTACGGCTTCTCGCCCGTGTGGCTCCTCATGTGGGCGACAAAGGAACACTTGTGTCTGAAACGTTTCCCACAGCGCTCGCAGGAATACGGCTTCTCCCCCGTGTGCGTTCTCATGTGCACGGATAAAACGCCGCTCTGAATGAAACATTTCCCGCATGTCTGACAAACGTACGGCTTCTGAGTCGTGTGGACCCGGTAGTGCTGCTGCATGTGAGACTTAAACTTGAAGGTCTTCCCACAAATGTCACAGGTCACAGTCTTTTTAACTGCAGCCTGCTCTGAGGTTACGGATGTGTTG